AGCAGATGGCAGGCTTACACACGCTCAGCTTACAGTATGTTGCCCCTGTAAATATATATATTTTTTACTTTATTTTATTTGTTCTTGTCGCTTTTGCAAAAAGATGGATAACAATTTATTTGTTTTTAGATATTTTATTTTTTAGATATTTCTATTTTTAAGTGGGTCCTACGAATTATTTTATTCTTCTGCAACCTGCACTCATAATTAATCTTTTCTACACGTGCAAACACACATAGCTTTTTCATGAACTTAATCCTCATGACTAGTCACTTTTTCAAACATATTTTTCCTCTCTCATACAGGTGCCAATAACATAATGACTTCTAATCATCTCCACATACTAAACAGTCTGTGCATGTGTATAAACACATGTCTAAACATCTCTAAAGTACAGTTATGTTGTTTGAGGCTGTGGCGGCAGGTGTGGGGTGCACAAACATATGATCCTGTGGGTTTATTAGAGGCTTGGCATTGCTCCTGCTGCAGATGTTAAGCCGTTGTATATTTGCTGAGCTCTGCTTCATCACAGGCAAGCAAACCTGATGAATCAAGCCACCTCACACAGTCTCAGATCACCTTACATGCTTCACATTGATTGATTCAGACTGTCTCACATCATGTTACTCTGCCTTAAACTGCTTCACATCACCTCACATTGCATCAAACAGGCTTGTATCAAGCCACACTGCTTCACATTGCTTCAAACATCCTTTTATTAGTTTACAACATATGTTTGTGTGCAAAAAATACATTCCGAATATAGATTTGTTTAGATTATGTTTTTAAAAGTATATTTTCATGAACATACAATTCCGTTCAAATTGGTTACACTTTATTTTAAAGGTTTTTTTATTACACTGTAATTATACATTTAAGTACTTTGTAATACTAAATATAGCATAAGGGTTTGGTTTAGGGTTAGTTTCAGGTAATTATGAATAATTTATTGTTATTACTATAGTAACCTATAATGGAACAATAACACTGTGAAATAAATTGTCACCAAAAATGTAAACATTTTTGTAAAGACTCTTACACTCATCATGGCTGTTGATCAAAAATACAATGAAGACAGTACTAGGCTATTGCAATCTTAAAATGTAGTAATTTATTCAGCATCATTACTACATACATTACTCGTGAAATCAAGCTAATATGCTGATTTTCAGCTCAAGAAACATTTCTGATTATTGCTATTATGTTGAAAATAGTTGTGGTGCTTATAATTTTTAAAATATATACCGTGACACATTTTCAGGGTTCATTAATGAACCAAAAGACAAATGTATTTGAAATGTAAATCACTTTTCTTGCTGTATACAAGTATTAATTTCTTTCAAAAAAACTAACCTCAAAACTTTCAAAAAGTTTTAGTTATTTTGCCTTGTTTTTTTCCCCAAAAATATTTAAAAAGAAAATGTTATATAATATTTTATAATATGTTATGTAATATTTTATATGTATATAGATAAAGGTTTAAATAAAATGTATTTTTTTAATTTAAAAAAAAAGTTGTGCGATAAGTTGCAACATATTTAAAAATCTAGTTTGGACATTTTTATTTATTTATTTATTTATTTATTTATTTTTAGTGCATCACCTGTCTATAATAAGTGCGTGCACCACAACAAGGCCACATGTAGTTTAAATGATATATGTTTCTTGATGATTCTGAGCTACGAAGGTATTACCTAGATATGTTTGTCTGCAAAACTTAAACGTTTACATGACATTTTATTACAGGATAAATTATTGTTTTAGTCTGACCCAAAACTAAGTCTTGAAAGTGCATGTAAATATCCTTCACCTCACTACTACTGCTTCACCTCACATTGCTTAAAACCCGTATCACCTCACATTGCTTCAGACCGCCTCACACCATGCCACTCACGCTGCTCCAAATCGACTCATATCACTTCTCAAAACCTCACATTGCCTCAAACTGGCTCTCATCACCTCACGCTGCCTGACATTTCCTCCTAAATAGAGGGAAGGGAAAGCATTGCCAGCCTACTCCTTTGCATCAGTGTCAACACTGTCCCAGTTACCTGTCAATAGAGACAATGAGACCATGGTCATGTCCTGGTCCGTATAACAGCTGGTCTCAGTGCTGTTCTAGTCAGCAGCAACGAATTCGTGGCTCAAGCAGAGTTACAGTTACAGAAGTCAAAGAAATATTCTCACACCACACAACACTATAAACCATTGCCAAATCTTTAAATATGCTCTTGTTTTCTTTACTTCTCTCCTCCTACTCATATTTCTTATCCTACATTTCTCATATACCAAAAAGAAGATATGTGCACCTGATCCTTGGGACAAATTAAACACAAATGAAACATATAATGTGACTGCTAGGTTGTCTCCATATACGTAAGTCTCTGTTGTATGCTTGCTTTATGTATGCTCTGGGGATTTCAGATTTAGCCCTCACCACCACCACACAAAGCGAAACCATGGCAAAGTGTGTGTTGTTTTGCGCCTACACAGTAGATATATTATCAAAGGCTCTTGTGTGTTGTTAGTATATCTCTCAGTATCACATGAAAACACGGCACATACCACACACCAATCTGAAATGAGACTTTTTAACACTTCCATGTTGCAAACCTCCCACTCAATCCCTATTTGGATTTACTTTAAGAATAGGCTGGCAGATGGAAAGACTAAGAGGAAAAAATAAACTTAAACACTGTCAATATAAAATTGACTTACCTGTGCTTAAATTTAGACCATCTCTGTCTGTGTACACAGATGTCATTTAGATATCATCATAACTAAGGTAATACGCTGATTTCATGCTGCCGCCATTTTGAAAACGTAAGCGAGGCTCCAGTGGGAAGTACCCCGGAAGTAAACATAGACAACAAAACCTTGGACTACCAACCTGAAGCTGCTGCTGCGATTTACACTACTTTATATTGATATCCAATATATAGTATATGTATATAGTTCGTTCCTACTTCTTTTTTATGTTCTGAATTTTATATATATATAAACAATTTTATTTCTAAATTAATTTCACTGTATTAAATGAATTTCACTCTATTATTGTTCTGTATTAAACACAACAATACGCCATCGTATTCGCGACTCTTCTGTGATTAGAGGCGACACTTCCGGTTTTATTCCCACCAGAGCCATTTCAAAATGGCAGCTGCGTGAAATCAGTGTATTGTTTTGGAGAGACATTCGTCGGTAATTGGCACTTCTAACGAGAGCACTTTCCAACTTTAGATCAGATGCCAATCTGTATGTTGCACTGAAGACTGCACAAAATTAATTAAAGCAGGAGAGCAAACACTTTATGTGCAATCAATCAATATCTCATGGTGTAAAGGTATGAGTCGCAAAATAAATAAGCCATTTCTATCCAACTAACACATTGTGTTATTCATTTATTTTAGCCTCTCTTTCACACGCAGACTGCGCTCTCATTGTGATGCACCTCTTTGCCTCAGCCCCAGCCCTAATTAAAGCTTCCTTTGGGCCTCACTATGTGGAGCACCAAACCAGATCACATCTCTGGTGGGCTGAGGAAGGAATAGAGGGTGAGAAAGAGAGGAACAAGTGAGAAAAGGTGGAGGGGCATCGAGATATAGAGGCATGATCAGACTGCAAATGCTGCCCTAGAGCCTTTGATATGGTTTTGACTGTTTTTTGTTCATTGTTCTTGTTTCATAAATATTTTGCAGTGTGGGAAACGGTAGTGATCTAAAAATGGCAGATGATCTCTAATTACTCTCAGGACACGTTTCATTCTAGATTGGCTAATATTTTCATTCAAAATAAGCTTTTATATGATTAATTGAGAGACTGAAAAGAAATACAACAGAATGATGGGAAACAGTGGATGAAAAGACAAAGAGCAAATACAGAGAGAGCAAGAAGTCTGAGAAAAAAGAGGGAATTGTATCTGTGTCAAAGACTGGTTTAACAACCTTGGTTTTCATAGTGGTGAAAGCATGGTTACAGGACTTGCTGCAAACTTTTTTCACTGTAGATTGTTGTTTTGGTATAATTCCCAGGATTAAATCACATGGACTATTCTTGTAACTGTCTCTTGAGTGTTTACTGATGGTGCTCAAGGCTAGAACATAAGAACAAATGCTAAGACTCATCTGGATTGAGCAGCAGATCTGAGTCTGTGCAGCTTTAAAATGTGTTCCATTTCCCTTTGCATTCAGAGGAGGATGGTGCCTGGCATAATGCAAAAGCCTTTTAATCCCCCATTTCTATCGATATTTTACTCTCTGGCATACAGTGGCCCTGGAATGTTGTTCAGAAACCTTGTATGGCTTGTTGATTAATGATGTTTGTCATATAACAATCACCCCGGCCCTCGCTGACTATACGGAGGCCTGAAAGACAGGTGGCAGGGTGAGATAAATGATCCCTATTCTCGAAAGGCAGTATATGGCTCATTTGCTACCATTTTAATGATTAAGACACTGAAATCCAAGGGTAGAGCACTATTTGTTCTTACAGCTAATGAATGATTTGTTTGGAAATAGTCCAAATAGCAGTGAGTTTTCCTAGTTTAATTTTATACAGGGGTTTACAGCAACCACTATGCACTTACACACAAATCCATGCATTTATGCTCGTGTGCCCATCTCATCATTCGCAGCCATGAAAATATGGACCAATTAAATGTTTGATTTAAGGAATACATATCGTGTTTACGTATCGTTATTGTGTCGTGTTTTATTACTCACATGTTTGTAGTGGCTACATAATCAGTTTTATAGTGACAAATAACCAAATATGTTCCTTTAACATTTTAGTTATATTTTATAAATTGCTTGTAAATTTTTTTTTTTTTTTTTTAAATCTGTGTTTGTATAATCTGTGAAATGTAATATTTTCATAAATAAATAAAATATTTCTGCATATCTTTGTTTGTAACCAATTGTTTTTATTTTTACATTTTGAGAAACCTTGATATTTTCTTGTTAAATTAAGCTCATATGTATTGTCTTTGTTTCATTTGACAGATTCATCAGAGAAAACTCCAGCAGCTGTCCTTCAATTCAAGATCAGTTTTGAAAATGTATCAGGCACCGACTCAGCTATACCGGATATGAGCAAATATGGGGACTCTGTTAGACACCATGACAAGCCAACAGCTTTGACAGCCCAAAAGGAGATCCCTCATTCGCATATGTGAAAGATATTCTGTACTCTCAATAACAAACTTATAGAAGAATTCCACCTTGTTTACCTTTATTTCAAAACACCCCTTCCTCTCCACTCCAATCATGAAAAGTTTGTTGACAGCCCTCTCTCCTTCCTGTACCACTCTCCTCTTCCTTCCCCTTTTCCTTCTCTTATGCCCACCAGAATTGGTCAGAGGTGACTGCTGGCTGATCGAGGGGGATAAAGGTTATGTGTGGTTGGCCATCTGCAGCCAGAACCAGCCACCATACGAGACAATCCCACAGCACATCAACAATACAGTACATGACTTGCGGCTTAATGAGAACAAGATCAAAGCTATTTTTTTCACGTCCTTGAGTCGCTTTACCAACCTGACGGACCTCAACCTCACCAAGAATGAGATCTCGTACATCGAAGATGGTGCTTTTGCAAGCCAAGCAAATTTACAGGTCCTGCAACTTGGATATAACAAGTTAACCAACCTGACAGAAGGCATGTTGCGAGGTTTGGGACGTATGCAATGTCTTTTCTTGCAGCATAATCTCATAGAAGTCATTGCCACTAATGCATTCTGGGAGTGCCCCAGCCTCAGCAACCTGGATCTGTCATCGAACAAGCTTGCCCGGCTGGACCCATCCACTTTCACTGTGTTGGGCAGGCTCATGGGATGTGAGCTTGCAGGAAACCCTTTCCACTGCGGATGTGAGCTCTACAGTTTCCTCAGCTGGTTAGAAGCCTTCAACAATGTCACACACACCTATGATCGACTTCAGTGCGAGACACCACGGGAGTTGTTTGGCTACCCGTTGCTGAGTCCTGTTGCCGGCCATGGACGGAGTGCTCGCAACATCCTTTACTCTGTGTGCCGGGATGGGGTGCTGATTCCTGGGATGACATCTCTGCCACCTGATCCTGATTCTTCAGGCATGGGACCTGACATTTTTGAGCACATTGGACCATATCATCAGCCCACAACTTCCTCCTCATCTGACAATGCATTTAGTCCCAGCATCAAACTGCAACATGTGTCTCTTTCCTCTGCATCCCTTCTAATCCAGATTCCAAAGCCATACAGCAAAATGTACATCCTGGTGCAGTACAATCAGAGCTTTGTGTCAGATGTGATGAACTTGAAGAAAAAAAAGGAAATGATCACCCTTAACAAGCTCAAAGCAAACACCAACTATACCTTCTGTGTGGCATCTATACGCAACTCTCAGCGCTACAACCACACGTGTTTATACTTTTCTACCCGAGCACCAAATCCAGACGACTTGATGCCTCCACCCTCCACGACCACCCACTACATCATGACCATTGTTGGCTGTCTCTTTGGAATGCTCATTGTCCTTGGGTTTGTCTATTACTGCTTACGAAGACGTCGCAGAAATGAAGAGAAAGAAAAATCCATCTGTGTGAAGAAAACCATTCTGGAAATGCGATATGGCCCAGAGGTGGCAGCAGCAGTTGCAAACGACCCCACAGCTGTTCAGAAACTGCACGAGCAGAGCCACCATCAGCATCACCATGGCAAACTGCCCATGTCCTCCTCGTCCAGCTCTGCCATGCTTGGCCATGGGTCTGCCAACACTAGTTCCTCACGTCTTTCCTCCATCCCTCAAGTAGAGAAGATGGCAACTGCTTTCTCTGAGGCCATGGCCAGTAAGGGCAACTATATGGATATTAGGACCTCTGTTGGAGGAGATGAAAGGGGTAGAGATGGAGCTGTGATGCATGGTGTTCGGGAGGAAGACCTCAGGGGGGATGATGGAAGTGACTTGGGTGATGATTCAGATGATGATGGCCGGGGATCAGCGTCCGAGATTTCAACCATTGCGATGGAAGTTGACAAGGTCAACCAGATAATTAACAACTGTATTGATGCCCTCAAGCTGGACTCTATTGCAGCTTCTTCTGTTTCCAACACAACAAGTGGTCCCACCTCACCCCCACCTACCTCTACCTCCTCCCTGACCAGAGGACTGATTCCCATCTCTTCTAGTATCAGTGATGCATGCCACGTCCTGCCTTCCCCAAAAATCCCTCCCCCACCTCCTCTCCCTTTCTCTGCTCCTCTGTCTGAGAGGCCTGGGATCACAGGTGGTGGCTTTGTGTCCCCACCATATCGTCCACCACCCCCAGCTACTGCAGTGAGGCCTATTCAAAGACAAATGAGCGCAGATGCTGCAGTCATCACCTCCTCTTCCAAGAGGCACTGCCGCCCTTCCAGTGGGAAAGGGGGTCGTGTTTACAGCCTAGATGTTCCGGAACCCCACAGCCCAGATCCCTGCCATTATTCAGACAAGGGCAGCCCGTTGGGGTGTGGTGAGCCCCTGGAGAGGCTCCCTTTAGTAGGTAGTGGAGGAGGAGGTGGCTGTAGCATTGACGGTGGTACTGTAGATGGGATGGGCCTTCAGCAACACCTGGAGGTGCACCCAGACTACCACTGCGCAGAGCATCGTCATTCAGTCCCTGCCTTATACTACGAGGGCTCTCATGACTCCCCGGCCCAAAGGGTCTCTTTTCTCAAGCCTCTGTCACGCACCAAGAGAGACGCTGCTTCCTACTCTCAGCTCTCTCCACGTCACCAAAATTACTCTGGCTACTCCTCTAGTCCAGAGTACTCCACCGAGAACACCTTGCGCATCTGGGAGCGCTTTCGTCCCCACAGAAAGGGTCCACGCGAGGAGTCATGTTACGTAACAGCTGGAAACGCCTTGCGCAAAAAGGTCCAGTTTGCCAAGGGGGAGGACTTGCATGACATCCTTGACTACTGGAAGGGTGTGTCAGCACAGCAAAAGCTGTAATCTATCAGACTGTGTGGATACACTGCACAGGTCTCTTTTACTGCCTGATAAACCAGAAGAGCAGCTCAGTGAGCAAGTTGGGTTATGGCTGAAGTTTGCAACACAGAGCCAAGTTTGTCAGGGTTTGAGGACAAGTTGTTTAATTGTTTTTGTACAGTGAGCCAGAAAGAGTAAAAAGAGCCTGAGAATACACTACATACAGTACATAAGATAACATTCAGAGATATAATTTGGAGCATTGTTGTTCTCAGTGAAAAAGGTCCTTATCATTTGTCAATAATTGAAATAATCTGTCATTTCATTGTTCATATCAATAGTGCAACCTTAACTAGAATCCTTATTAAACCTAAGAGAATCTCTGTGTGTACTCTCAACCCATCAAATCATTGGTCATCACATTAATTTGTTAGGTGGGAATGTGTGTTTTAGAAGGATAAAATGGATGTTCTGATTTTCTTCTAACCTGTCAAAAGCAGTTTCCCTCTTCCATATTACAGAGACTGTGCACAGGGCAACCACATTTACATTTCAATAGCACTCCTCATGTGAAAAAGAGAAAAAGATAAAAATGAAACAGAAGAATCTCCCGGGGGAACCTTGGGATAGTCAGCCGTGTTTGACAGCTGCTGAGCTGTACTGCTGTGCTGAGCAGGATGGCATAAATAGTGCAAGGGGTTCTAGAGAAAATAGATTTACCTGGGTTTGTGGGAAATGCATAGATCTATGTTAGAGATTAAAGAGACATAGTTCTGTATATCTCTCATCTCTGATGCATTATTAATAGCATTTTCTTATTGGAGGTTACCTTGTATCAAAGCAAGAGCGTAAAGTGTCTGTTGGCAGCAGAGTTTTATGTATTCTGTTCTTCTGGTCTTAGGTCAGTTTGTTTAGTCTATTAATTGGCTTTTGGAAGCCTATTGCTGACTCATTCAACAGGCAAAGTGACCTATACCCTGGTATGGCACTTTTAGACTGACACTTTATATGGCATGTTTCTCCAGGCTCTTTTTTTTTTTGTTTGTTTCGTTTTATTCATTTATTTGAGGAAATTATTATCCATTATACTGACTTTGAAAGGTAGACAGACAAAAGGAGCAATATTTAATTAAATAAAAAAATAAATCTTTTAAATTGAAATGGATTTCAACGATGATAATAAAACTCCTCTCCCAAAAACACTTAATCTCAAATATAGATCTCATAAGATAATACATTATTAATGGTATTTTGAAAAAATGACAAATAATATTAGCTTCAACACCTCTGTCGTCGATTATTTTATTAATTCCCATTGGATTACACAAACTAATTAGCAATTACCAAGGCTATATCCTTAAGTGTGCGAGGGTAAGCAGCCAAGACCTCAAATTTGATTAAAAGATCTCTCTCTCTCTCTCTCTCTCTCTGGCAAATGAGGGTGAGTGTTAGCATTAGCAAACGTCTTCATTCAACCCTCTTTATTCTGCATCAGGTGTTTTTGTGCCTTCAGTAAAAGGGTCCATTATTTGTTAGTATCACAAACGAGTAATTGTTGATGATTGGCTCATGTTCTTTACATCATATCATTTCCCATATTTAAATGGATTTCATTGTAAATACATGTTCATACCACTTTTCTTTCCATATCTCTTGATTAAGGTTTTTCATTGTAAATATGTGATAGATACCTGCCAACATTGGACATACACTCAGGCACAATGTCTCTTTGGTTCTCTCTTTTCGAGGGCTTTAAAAAAAAATCCAGTCCAAGGTATAGGCCTATGACAAAAGTTGTTTATAGGATGCTTTATGGTTTACAGAAAGAGGGACAGCAGCAGCTATAACATATGTGGATTATTAGGGCTCTGTGTGTACTTAAGGAAGACATTGCACTCAGCTCATTTAGAGAGAATGGACCCTAACTGGACAAATCATTTTTGGGCAACTGCAATGGACTCTCAAAGGACTGGTACCGGAGGCTTACTGTGACATTTTCTTTACTTTATGAACATGATTTTAAAACCTCTTGGACTGGTCTTAAGGAACTAACCATCAACACTCAATCAAAAATGACTGTTCATTTTTTTATAACAGTAAAATCTGATGCCCAGCTTAATGTTTTAGACACGTTTTTATTGTGCCTCCCCTCGTTGACAAAGAAAAATAGAAAGAAAAAAAGACATTTTTGCTATGAATTCAAGGTTGAATAACAAAAGAGGGAGTAATAATACAATTGGCATGGCATCTGTAAGATTTGTTATTTATTAATTGTTTAAGAAAATGTGTAAATACTGTTTTTCTCTCTTTATTTTTTTGCTTGGGGAGTAAGACTGATTCTTCATGCTGTTATCTTGCTCAAGGTCATTCTCCTTCAACTTTCCCTGTTGAAGAATTAATGTTCCACCCATTCTTTCTGGATAAACAAGCAAATCAATTATTTCAAGTTACGGTATTTTTATATCAGACCTTAATTCGCACACTATGTTTATAATACATTCTTTCTTTGATTTACTTGGCCTTTAAAACTTTGCTTGACATATCACATATAAATTACCCAGTTCAGCCAAATTTGTGTTTGTTTACTATCCTTCTACAGAGCTAATAGGCTAAGCCACACAGCCACTTTCTTCATACACCAAATTAATCAGTGGATGGTTGGTGTCAGAGTTTCGTCTCTCAGGATACTGATGTTTTTTGAAGGATTGAATAATGCATGTATCTGTCTCTTCTTCTTGATCCTTTGCTAGTGTCATTATATTCCTGCTCTTTGCTAGTATTAATAGTGTTATCAATTCGTCATTCAGAAGTTTCTGAAGAACATGTGTCATGTTGTCTGCGGTAGGATACCAGCTCTTTTTGTTGTTGTCTTGAATGAAATGGTGATTTACAAGTGGGCCGTACCCAGTTGTTTTGTATTCCACTCACTGTAACCATTCAGTATCACAAGACATGACGCTGTTGCATAATTTATGGTAGGTGTCATGGTATCATTCTTAAATTGCCTTTTTTACACTAATAGGCCCTTTCTGAAGGCCCTTTCACTATAGTTGTGTTAAGGAAGTTGATTGTGCTAAGGACAGAAAATACTTAAACATTAATCACTGTCAGCTTTCAGCAATATTACACAGAGTGCAAAGTGGATTACTCTTCCACAGCAGTTTTTACTTTTTCTAAGCTCTTTAGCCTCCTTTTAGCGTTAGACACTATGGAAGGAGATTGGCTTGAAGTGAGCAAAAAAAGATATGGATTAATGCTTTGAAACATGCATGATTTTCATTCCAGCCTCCCTCCTTTTTTATGGCACTTGGAATGGCAAGAAAGTGACGAGCGAGAAACTTTTGTTGGCAATTAACTAGCTCTGTCATACCATAAATCCCCATTATTCTTTTTTTCTCATTTGCTTATTTCTTCAAGAACAGAATCCATATTTAATTGACTTAATAGGACCAAATATTTTTCGACAAGCTAATTATTGCCCCTCATGCCACTGAATCCAGTCCAAACGACTAGGGTACATGCAGTTAATGTACTGTATTCTGTGTCTTTGAAGGTCTTTGTTCATGCTCAAAAGAAGCCCAGAGAAAATCACTCTGAGGTTCTATGGGGTCAGGATAATTGTACCTTTTTATGAAGTCGTTTTCTCCCTCTTTTTACGCAGAAGAGAGCCACACTGCCACGTTTTCACTCTGATATTTTCTGCTTGTTTGTCTTTCATATCTTCTCTGAATTCCGATGGTATGACTGCAAGGAGCAAAACATGGCAGGATTGTGAGAAACACGCTGCAGGATGGATACATTTGATTGTTTAGAACTAAAAGAGACACTAAATGGGCCAGTCGCTGTGCTTTTCCAAAATTCAACCCATGGGCTTTAATAACCCAATTAAAGACATACAGTATTGTATATTAGACTGTGATGGAGAAACATAAGAATGCATTGATTTCTCCGAAACAAGAGCAGGATAGAGGGGTTAACTCTGAATCAGCTCATCAAAGTGAGTCGGAGAATGCCGTTATGATTATGGAAAACACATTTAACACTCAGGATCAGGAGGAGACAGTAAATCAGGGAAGGAGATGATGCAGAAAGTGTGTAGGAGTACTTTGAGAGGCGAGAGAGGAACAGAGAGTATACGCAAGCTGCATCAACCTGATAATGGCTGGAGCTTTGAATAAATAAAAGCCACACACAATCTGTAATGTTGTGAAAGAAGACAGGCTAATGCATGAGCAACGAAACAACCCTAGACGATTAGATATTCTGAATTGCTTATGAGATCATGACTGAATCGGATCCAAATGTTTGTGTTTGGTTCATTGGTTCAGTACAAAGGGGTAGTTCAATCCCAAAATGAAAATACTCACCATGGTTTTGTTTTGTTTGTTTGTTTGTTTCATTTCTTTATTATGGAAAAAGATGATTGAAGATTCTTTTAAAAATCCCAAAATAATTTGTGCATTTAATATGTTTTGAACACATTCTTTTCAATTCTAGACAGAATTGTAAGTTTAGAAGTTTTTGAGTTTTAGATGATCCATTAACAGCACTGTCGCTCAGAAATCGTGGGAAACATTTAATAGATAAGTGGGAATGTCAAAGGCACTGGGGGATCACCAGTTAATCCTGAGTTCCATCCCCCTCAATCATTCACTTCTCAATTAACTTCACTCCATCAGCCTAATGTCCGTGTAATCTTCTAGTCATTCCCTCTGTAGTCTCTGTTGAACCGTCTACAGGCCAACATATCAAGTTATCACTGGAGTATCACTCCCATATTCAAACAGCAGTTTAACATGCAACGGGGAGAAAAAGAGGAAGTTTAATGAACCCACATTTTTTTAAAGGAGTACTAAGACTTTGTTTGTTTGGCCAGTTGACACAACAGTAGTGTTGGACTTTATATCATTATATCATACTCATGGGAGTTAATGTGTTATTATTCAAAAATTACACATATATTTTAAATACAGGGGTGAAGTCCAAAATGTTAACATAGAGGGGTGTGTGCACTAATGAACATAATTTCCTAATTTTGTGGAAACATATGCAGCGGGTTGAATTCACACCAAAGGAGTTTGTGGGGGTGGTGTTCGGGTCTACTGTCATTCATTTGATTATTTTTCAATTTAAACTCTCCAATAATGTGTTTTGCTGAATATGAGGGTAAAATGTACAAAAGGGTGACAAGGGCCTTTTGTGTTTCATTTTGTTTTGTTTTAATCCTCCAGTATAATAATCCTCTCAGATGATGTTGGCATGCGGTTGGCGGGTCTATCTGCTCTTGAGCGGAAGAGCATCTTTGAGCCTTCACCTGTCCCAAAATGCGGCTCAGGAACCTTTATGACAATTATTAGCTTGCATCTTTGTTTCTTCTAAATTGCTTTACTAGACCTTCTTTCACAAATATTGTTTCCTGTTCCAAAAAAAGGAGGGTAAATAGAGCTATATTTGTGAATTTCAAACTTTGTAAAAATATCAAAGATGTTTTGGGTTTTTTTTTTTTTCACTGAATTTCTAGTTGTAATAGTTATAATTATGTTTAGTGATGAGAGGTTTGGACATGTTGTATAGCTTTGGACTGGGTTAATGCTTTGATCCCTGTTATCCAGATCTGATTCAATCTGAGACCATAGAAAGTGGCAGGAAAAGAAACAAAGTGTTATGTTTGCATGATTATCTGTATTTTCAAAGAAATGAATTATATTGTTGTGTACATTGAGTGGATATATTTTGAAACAAAGCAAAAATTAGGCATTGAAATACTGTCAGAACTTTTTGAGGGATGATACTGAGGCTTATTAACACCTCAAGGATGCTGAACTTCTTTCATTGCTGTCACTGGAATTCTTATTACAGTTTTGAACCAAGAAAAAAACTGTCTGAAACAATGCCATGGGAAAGCTTTGTATTCTGCTTTACAAATTGCCAACAGCAACAAAAAAAAATGGCTTTATTGGTCAGTTTTGTTTAGTGCCAAAATAAGACCTTTATATATCCCATATGGTTATTTCTCTGCAATGAAAAAGAAAAGTGAGATCCTAGCTGTGTCCATTCATCCTCTGTAGAACTCAATGCTGCCCAGCAGACTGCAGATCAATAAATAAGAGAATATGGCACATCCACCACATTAACCTTGCAGGTGTCCCGTGGTAGCCCCTTGCCTCTGCTGGGGAAAAACATCCTCCCGTGCACGACTGCTCTTTGAATCAATGATAAAGCAAACATCAGCGAATGCATGTTTAAATGTTTCTGAGAAGCCAGGGAAATAGTCTATGGGCAGTGAAACAGAGGTACTTAGAGAGATGGTCCGTTTGGGAGGCTGTTGTCTCTGGAGGCTGTGGAGGATGCCGTTCTCTATTTTAACCGACTGAATGAAGAGGCCTGCATTGATTATTTAAGGCTGAGAGGCCACAACGGCTGAACCACAATACCAAGCTCATCATGTCTGTAATCTTGCCAATAGCTCTTCTGGTCATTCTATAGACCATTTTGCAGGATGTAAACAACACTGGTCCAGAAACACTTCCTGTTTCAGTTTCTAACTGTTTTCTTTATTTCACATGTAAAGAAAACATCTTAAAGATGTTTGTTTAACTTTTTGATTCAGTTTTAAATGTTCTGTTGGTTGTATTTTATCCCAGCTTTTATGTAGTGTTAAAAAACTGAAACAGGAAGTGCTTCTGGGCCAGTGTTGTTTACATCTTGCAAAATGGTCTATACATACACAATACATACACTCTAAAAAATGCTGGGTTGTTGTAACCCAACTTTGGGTCAAATATGGACTAACCCAGCCGTTGGGTTAAATTTTTACATTACATTTTTAACCCAACATTTCGGGTTTGTCCATATTTGACCCAAAATTGGGTTAAAACAACCCAGCATTTTTTAGAGTGTAGTCACATAGCATTTTATTGAGTGTAAGAATCTAATCTGAACCAAAAGTTATTGTTATTTTTTTTTTATTTTATTTTTTTTTTTTTTGCAAGTGGTAACCGAAGCTTTTCCATGGTGACACACAAAAGAGCTCCAACTGTGAGCTTTAAAATAGTTTGATTTTGGACGTCATAAGTAGCTTCGTTTTTCAGTCCAAGCTTTTGACAGAATTGTAAATGAATTTCAGCTATTTTAAAGAGCCTCATTAACAATGTTTCCTTCAGATCGGTTGTATATTTCTTTGCCTCTCTTTCTATCTACGGAATGGATCTCAAAAAGACCTTTCTTTGATGTGATGGAAAAAAAGGCCTCTGAAATGGTTTACTTACATTTATTTAGCTGGTAATTAAATCCTACATCTTCTCCACCACAAATTCTGTACAAAAGATCTATTTCTATATTTGCAATAAATTTGTAATAAAAAAAAGCTGCTTATGTGTCATTTTTTTATTCAAATGAAAGACTGTGGAAGCTTGCCAAACACTGAAATGCACTGGTAAGTCTTGTCTCTTGTCATTTTTGTTTGGCCAGAATTATGAGTGTTGTCAAAGAAAGCTGCTAAGTGACTATCTGGATCAGTTTCAAATCTGTACTTGATTTAAAGATATATATAAAAAAGCGAGAACTGCCTA